GGGATAGAGAGTGCAAACGATTTAATAGGAGGTTCGATCCAACTCAACCGATCTACGTCCTCCGTTACCAAGCTCTCCGTCACGAACAAGGCCTTTTTTACTATATTGATCTACTTATGGTGCAATCCAACCATTTTACAAAGCTTCCAATAACTTACAATCAAGGAGCACCGATCCTTTTACAATATTGATCTTTATGGGACTACGACCCACAAGTTTAAATTTACAAAATTGAAACTTTTCTCTCAATAATTAATATATCAAGGTTGAGAATAATGAGAGAAAAATAGGCTACCACTTTAATGGATGGCAATGAATGAAGCTCAAGTGTTAGATATGCAAAACTTTGAAATTTTGATTTTTCAAAGGTTGAATCAATCAAAGGTTTTCCAAGTATGAGTGGATTGATAAAGATAAGAAACAAATACTTAAGCTCAAGAAGATCTCTCTTTTAATGTTCTTTTTAAGTTGTAATAGAATGCAAACTGATCAGATATTTATAACAGTAAAACCGTCAAATTTCTGTCCTATCAAACGACCCCATCGGACGGTCAACTAGTCGTTTTTTGGTCAGAAGTCAGAACGGCTACTATTTGGACCATTGGACAAATCGGCTCTACCGGATGTTCGCCACACATACCGGACGCGTCCGGTACGACCATTTTTTTTTTTTACAAAAAATTATCTTTGATTGTTAGGAAAAAACCACGAGTTCTTTAGGAATATTTTAAAAACTCATTTTCAAGGTTTTTGGCATTTCCAAATATGCAATAAAGTTTGTATCTTTGGAAAATAATTTTGTACGTAAAAATATTTCAAACGTCGTTTAAAGATTGATCTTAAGCTTCAAACAATATTACCAATTATTAAAGTGTTTTATCTTTACACTTGAAAACAAGAAATCTAAATCTAATGTCTTCAATGTCGGAACTTGATGAAGTGTAAGTCTTGAATAATTTGACGTTTACACTCGGCCTTTGTACCGTCTTGCATTTGCTCATCTTTTCAAGTGTTTCGATGGTGAACTTTTCATCTTCGATTGATCAAGCTTGCCATAATTTTGATAATTGAAAAGCACGTGTTAAAAAAAAAAAAAATTCCCCCTTACTTTTACAAATCATGCCCATTTCATGTCATTATCATCTCAAAATAATTTTCTCCCTTTTGACTTAAGCGAAAAGGAACAATGAAGCATGAAAAACATAAGTACACCAAGAATTACCATAAACATTGTCATTAAGTAGAAAACATAAAAAATATAGATTTACAAGTCAAAAAATACTAAGATGAGTATTATCATAAAAAAAAATTAGTTTCTATAAGTCAAAGACAACAAAAGCAGGTACTAAGGCACCGGAGGAGCTGTCAGAGGAAAATGTGCATAGAAGTACTCAAAGAATGCGTTTTGCTGAGCTTGCATCTCTGCCTGCTGTGTAAGAATGGCATCCTATCGAGCTTAAATGTGATCAACTGATGAGGTAAGAGAGTCGAGGCGCCCATTGAGAATGTTAAAATGAGCCTCGGTGAAAGTGAAACTTTGAGAGAATGAAGAGCCACCTGAGGGCTGAATAGGAGGTGGATGCGAAGGTAATGGAACATTGTCATCTGCTTCGTCTTACTCTTCGAAAGGCAATGTTGAGGGTCCCGAGGTGGGGTCGAACCCTTTGGTGAAGGCCACCCATTGGCCTTGTGTTTTATAAATTTTTATTCGTTTAAGAGTTTGAATATTTATGGTATCGGTGGGGCTAGGTTTTATAACTGCTTCACCATCAAGAGGAACATTGAAGTATTTGAAAATTTTTGTTAAAAACATTTTGTAAGGTAAGGCTTTGGCATAATGGGAAGAGTATATGAGTTTCATAAGACCCAAGGCAAAGGTTAGGAAATCTAATTTACGACCAACAAGGAAGGAATCAAGAATAAAAAGGTTAAAATAATTTACTTCATCCCGACGCCCTTTCCTAGGTAAAATAACATTGGCAATGATATTTTGCAAAACTTCACAAGGTAGAGTGAGTTGATTAGCACTAATTTTGGTGATATTTTCAAAATCTTTTCCCGTCACACGACGACATGCATCACTCGGGTTGTAATCGTCTCTAGTCGGATGAGCTTTATGAACAAAGACTTGGATATCACACGGTTCAAGATTGAAAAGTTGGCAGATTAGAGCTTTATCAATGGTGACCCGCACATTTTTACTTAAGCAAGATATACGATCCGAACCAGGAGTAATAACCATATTTTTGTAAAATTCCTTCATTAGTTGGGGATAACCATTTTCTACTAAGGTGTACACCGAAGTCCATCCCATTGTTTCAAAAAAATTCTCAATATGAAAAACAGGAGCTTGAATAGAAAAGTCCGTAAAATCAACACGTTTACCTAGGTGAACGGGCGATTTTCAAAAGTGTTCAAGGGCAACTCAGGCTCCGAATCCGTGTCTTTCTCTAAAGAAGAGGATGGAGAGCGTCTAACTGTTTGCTTCAACCTCTTTCCAATCCTTTTAGCGCCAGTAATTGCAAGGGATGATTACAATTTTGAAAAATGTCGAAAAAGGAGATTAGGGTTCGGATGTTTGGGGAAAATCACAAAAAGAGGTGAAATTTTTGAGATGGAAGGAGTAAAAGTGATGGGTTTCGTGAATCTTAAGTAAATCTTATGATTTGGAGTGAAGAAGATGGTTTGGAGAGGAGATTGAGGGAGAAGAAGTTGAAGAGAATGAAGAAAATAAAGAAGGAGAAATGAAGTCCGCCCTTTTTAAAAGTGGAATTTTGTTCTATCGGACGTTCGGTATGGGTACCGGATTTGTCCGCTAAGGCAGAGAATTTTGCAGTAAGAAAGGTCGAGGTACCAGATCATCTTATAGACGTGTCCGGTATAGACTGGATGATCCATCCGCTATACCTTTTTTTTTTTTCCTTTTTATGGCAGATATAAAATTTTCAAACTTCTTTTACCTCAATTTCATTTATCATACCCAATCCTCTTAGAATATGTGAAAAACGTTCATGAGCCAGAGGTTTGGTAAAGATATCGGCTAATTGGTCCTTGGTCTTGATAAATTCTAATTCGATATTTCCTTTTTGTGCGTGATCACGAAGAAAATGGTGTCTAATTTCAATATGCTTAGTTCGTGAGTGTAAGACGGGATTTTTAGACAAATTTATGGCACTAGTATTGTCACATAAAATAGGCACATGATCACAAGTCAAATGATAATCACATAGAGTTTGTTTCATCCAAACTGTTTGTGCACAACAACAAGTAGCCGAAATGTATTCCGCCTCGGCGGGGGATAGTGCAACAGAATTTTGTTTCCTACTAGACCAAGACACAAGTGCAAAGCCTAGAAAGTGACAATTTTCACTAGTGCTTTTACGATCAACATTACATCCGGACCAATCGACATCTGAGTAATTAATTAAGTCAATGTGAGTGCATTTTGGATACCAAAGTCCCAAAGTTCTAATTCCATTTAGATAACAAAAAATTCTTTTTACGGTCTTTAAGTGTGACTCTTTAGGATTAGATTGAAAATGAGCACATAAGCAAACACTAAACATATTATCGGGCCTACTAGCAGTTAAATAAGTAAGAGATCCGATCATACCTCGATATTTCGTGACGTCCACAGATATGCCTTGCTCATCTTTACGAAGTTTTACGAATGAGCTCGTTGGTGTGTTCATCGGTTTAATGTCATGCATATCAAGTTTCTTAAGCATATCTAATATGTATTTATTTTTATATATGGAAATTCCTTCTTTTGTTTGTTTAATTTGAAGACCAAGGAAGAATTTTAATTCATCCATCATGCTCCTTTCAAATTCTTTGCTCATGCAATTTGAAAATTCTTCACAAAGATGAACATTTATAGCACGAAATATGATATCGTTAACATAAATTTGCACAATGAGCATATCCTTGTTATGAGTTTTTTCAAAGAGTGTGGTATCTGCTTTTCCAATTGAGAAACCATTTGAGAGAAGAAATTTGCTCAACCGTTCGTACCAAGCTCTAGGAGCTTGTTTCAAACCGTAAAGAGCCTTTCGAAGTTTAAATACATGATCCGGATACTTGTGATTTTTAAAATTGGTTGCTCAACAAAAACTTCTTCTTCAATAAAACCATTTAGAAATGCACTTTTAACATCCATTTGATAAAGTGTAAAACCTTTGTAACACGCAAATGCAAGAAGCATACGAATGGATTCTAATCTTGCTACGGGTGCAAATGTTTCTTCAAAATCGATTCCATCTTCTTAATTGTAACCTTGGGCCACTAATCTAACCTTGTTACGGACAATTACTCCATTTCCTCACTTTTGTTTCTAAAAACCCATTTTGTTCCAATAACGGTTTGATTGTTTGGTCTAGCAACTAAGTTCCAAACATGATTTCTTTCAAATTGATTTAATTCTTCTTGCATTGCTAGAATCCAAAACTCATCAAACTCGGCTTCTTCGAAATTTTTAGGTTCAATTTGAGAAATAAATGCACAACTACCAAAGTGATTTTTATGAGAAGTTCTAGTGGTGATACCTTTTGATGAATCGCCAATTATTAGCTTCCTAGGATGAGACGGAACGAATTTCCTTTCCTTTGGTAATGGGGGATCACTTTGTTTTTCGGGTTGTCTTTCTCCATTTTCTTGTTTATTTGATTCCTCATTTGGTGCCTCTTTATTTTGGTCTTGAATATTCATTTGTTCAAAAGGAGCTTCCAACCCTACATCATCATCACTACCTTTCTCTCAATCAAGAGAATTGGTTTCATCAAAAGTAACATGCATTGATTCTTCAATAACTAGAGTTCTTTTGTTAAATACTCTATAAGTTTCGCTAGTTGATGAATATCCTAGAAAAGTTCCAACATCGGATTTTGAATCAAACTTTTCCAAATTATCTTTAGTGTTTAAAATAAAGCATTTGCACCTTAAAACTCTAAAGTAACCAATGTTTAGAATTTTATTTTTCCAAAGTTTTTAAGGAGTTTTGTTTTTCTTTTTACTTACATGTACTCTATTTACAAATAGCAAGCGGTATAGACGGCTTCGGCCCAAAAATATTTTGGCATGCTATTTTCATTTAGCATGGTCCTAGCCATTTCTTGCAATGTTCAATTCTTTCTTTCTACTATTCCATTTTGTCGAGGAGTTCTAGGAGCCGAGAAGTTATGATTATATCCATTTTCATTGCAAAAGTTATCAAAAGCAATATTATCAAATTCTCTATCATGATCACTCCTTATAGAAGTGATAGAGTATCTTTTTTCTTTTTGAACCTTTTTACGAAAATGCTTAAAGACATTTAAAGCCTCTTCTTTGAGACTTAAGAATTGAACCCAAGTGAATCTAGAAAAATCATCTACGATGACAAAAGCAAAATGTTTTCCACCCAAACTTGCGATTCTAGAGGGTCCAAAAAGATCAATATGAAGTAGTTGTAAGGCTTTTTATGTTGAAGAGTGTTGCTTAGTTTTGAAAGAACTTTTTACTTGCTTGCCAAATTGACAAGTATCACAAACTTTATCTTTTTCAAATTTCAAATTTGGCAATCCTTCAACAAAACAATTTTTTGAATTTTTTGGAAGAAGATCCATGCTAGCATGGCCTAACCTCCTATGCCATAAACATGTATCTTCCTTGAGGCTTAGTAAACATTTTTCATCATTTTCAAACTCAATATTTAGGATATAAACATCTTTTACTCGACTAACTATGAACATTGCTTCCTTTGAAGTAGCATCCTTTGTAAAGCATTTTGAAGAGTCGAAATAAATATGATAGCATTTATCACATAATTGACTAATGCTAAGCAAATTATGTTTGAGGTTATTAACAAGTAAAACATTTTCAATTTTAGGAGAAGAGTGATTACCAATATCTCCGATTCCAATGATTTTTCCCATAGCATTGTCACCGAATGTCACATGACCTTCATTCTTTTGCTTGAAGTTTGTTAGTAGCTTTCTATCTCCGATCATGTGTCTTGAACATCCATTATCCAAGAACCATTTGCTTTTTAATTTCTTTGATATCTACAAAAGTAATTCAATTTTTGATTTTTGGTACCCATACAAATTTGGGTTCTTGGTAGTCAGTATTTGTGGATTGTTATATCCACTTATATTTTTTTTCAAAGTATAACTTCTTTTTGGTTAAGCAATTGAATGCAACATGTCCATTTTTATTGCAAAAACTACATGTAATTCTTGAAGTGGAAGAATTTGAAGATTTAACAAATATATTTTCAAGAGACTTTTGCTTCAAGGAGGGTTTGTATTCAATCCCTCCTTTATCAAAAACATATTTTTGATTTCCAAGCATTAAATCAAAATTCTTCTTTCCTTGGGAAAATTTATGAATGATTTTTATCAAGTCCTCAATCTTTTATTTTAAAAGAGAGTTTTCTTTCATCAATAAATCGTAATTTT